TTGAAAATTTTTTTCGCAGTAATGGTAGAGATCGACTTTATTTGTTATTTGTCGCCTCCAATATTTGAGATTTGTAAAAAGTGTTGGGAACCCAAAACCTTACCTTCGAGTTTCCGAATCCGCTATGTTAATCTGAATTTGAAATGCTACAGATTCGCGTTCGGTACTTGCGGAACCATGCAGAGTTTGTACTTGAAGTAGACAAGTCTGTAAGCCCCATGACAAAGTTTTATTATTGAGTTCTTCACAAAGTGGTTTCGTCCCACTCCATGCCGAGAATACCTATCATAGTTCCACAGTAAACCAAGAAAACAGCTGTTCAATATTCTTCACAATGTTAGTTTGCTCGAACGGCTTTTCATTTGCTGTTTCAACATTTTGGACGTCGGAGTGATTTACAGTATGTCGGATAGTGTGTATGTATGCATATTACTTGAAGCACCCTATTCGGTAGTAAAAAGCATTGTGTCAATTGCGCCATTTTTATGCTTATTATAATATTCCTATTTTAGTTTGAGTAGCGATGTGTGAAATTTGGTCTTGACCTTTCCTCATTTCGATTGAACGCTTCCTACTTAATTCCTTTTGATAATGTAATGTTGTAACTGGCAGGATATTAATGCCCTTATAAAAATGTCTATAGGATTAGTCTTAGGCGAAAGCTACTATAACGATGTACAGCATTATTACTTATCTACAAACATAATTCAAAGATTGTCAAGTTTTTTTCCGCAATGACTCCTGCATACGAGCATAAGAAATAAATAAAAAAGCTAAAGTCTACCTACATCTACGCGGGCCATCATGCAAATCAAAAAGTTAACGTTCATTGACTTTCTACTTCTACAACTGACGTCTCGTTTCGTCATTTCGGGCCACATACAACAATTTTTTTTGTCAGTTTTTGCTTTCATAAGTCATATTTGTTGCAAAACATCTTGAAACGTTGCTATGTCTATGAAAGAGATGAGTTAGTAGTTTTTTGTTGTTAGATTGGCGCATAAAGTTTTTCCAATTTTGGAAAAAAAAATCCACACTCGCAGTTTATTTGAATCAATGGATCGAAATAGGATTTCTCAACCTTAGATCTTAATTATGTGCATAAGGAGAAAGAATAGAGGTGACGTTTTGAGTCTATTGATGAGTTATTTCGTATGTCCGACTTTGACTTTTTGTAAATCTTCGTGATCCAACATGGTCCTTCATCCATTCTAAAAACAAAATTTTGTTCAGGACAAATTCTCATTATTTTTGGAATTGTTCTTGACAAACTAGTTGCATGATTTTTCAATAGAAAGGAAGATTGAATAAATATTTTAAAACTTCTACCCGTTGCATATCAAATTTAACTCATCATAATATTTTTAAAAATTAGGAGATGACCTTGGGTTACACGCATTTTATGCAAATTTTGGCAAGAATTTTCGTAAAGGATCCACTTATTTTGTCCTTTTTGAAGGGGCAGAATATGCTTTTTTTGGTTCTTGATTTTTCGCAACCAACAAATGTCAGCCTGTCGCTATGTTCTCCTATTTCAAAAAGCTTAGTGCATGTTTCAACAAATCATTTTGATTGATGTCACAATTGATCTTTCTCATCTTTTTTGACTTTTTTTTGGAGATGTCAGTATCACTAATCATATTTAGACCTTTGATGTTGATGAAAAATCTCCAACCAGGATTTGGTGGTCACTATAATTTGAAGGAAAGTGTTTGGAAGTTTGAACATGAACAAAATAAATTGTACAAGAATCCCTCGGCATATTTCAAATGAGTTCGCTTTTTACGTCACCTAGCCAACACAAGACTCTGGGGAAGTCTAAAACTGAAAGAATCTGCTGCTTTATCCTCCCTTTCCCTCACATTAATTGGTCGCAAAATTGTTAGAAGTGGTTCATATAAGTTAAGAATTATGTAGTAAGGCAACTACTTGTTTTATCTTATCTTCATACATTTCATGAGATACTAATTTGTCAAAGACGTTCTCGTCTAATTTTATTTATTTCACCATTTTAAATCCTTTTGTAGCCAATGACATGAGGGTTGCAGCTAGCTATGTTTGGAGCTCTCCAAGACATTCTATTTCAAAGTCCCCAAGTCTTGCCTTTGCGCACTGGTCACATTCTCCTTGCTCTCATAATTTCCTGGCTTTTTACAAGGGGCTAATCTCATGCCTCATATCGTACATGCCAACATTTGCGCATTAAACATTGATGTTTAAAGCAAATCTAGTAGAAGAAATGAGTTATGGCGTTATGCGAGGTCAACGGCTGTCCTTGAGTTGTCACTATTCAAGAGATATAAGAGTTTTTGTTTGAAGTTGAGTTCAGCCGCACGCAAGATGAAGTTTGTGGTGTGCATTCCAAGACCTGATATAGGTAAAAGTATTTTGTAAGGGGAGTATCGTGTAAATTTCGAAGCTATGGAAAACAAGTGGAGTATTCAGAGATTGAATGCGATTTTGTCTAACAGAAGTGTTTATTAGATTCCACGATTTCAACATCGATTGTCATATCGAACCCTTTTGACCGAAATCTTTGAAGCGACAGTCATTTAGTAGCTTGGCCCGAGTAGTGATCTGAATGTTGGAGTAAATATTTATTCTCGGATTGAAGTCAGCCAGCAAGCTCATCTTTCCCGGGTTCCCATATGATAGACTTCCAATCCTTGTCTATGCGTATGCAGCTTATAATTTTCACTATTTCGAAAAATTATCATAGGATAGATATGGTCTTTGGTCCACCCTTTGCGTCAAAATCATCCTCGGATGTGAAATACTAGTTGTAACATGCACCTTTGCTCCATAGTCTCGTTTTTTAACGTTCTTATTTAGTGGTGATTCTGTATTTATTTCAAGAGAACTTAATAGAGTCTCACTCAGTATAAATAGGTCTGGAGGCGACCTAAGTTACATCTAACAAGGGAAGGATAGTTGGTCGAAGTGGGGTTTCCATATGAAATGTATACTGTCTTATAGCGTGTGGAACGCTTATTCCAAATCTGCTTTCCCTATCTGCGAAGCGCTCAGGACCCGGCACAGATCGCCTGGAAGCAGGCTGGACTTCGTTTTTGAAACAAACAGCAAAGGAGATATCGTTTTTGCGGAGGTCAGGGCCGAGCACCAAGAATAAGCGCCATTTAGTCGAACACAAGCTTTTCGGACAGGTTATCACACGATTGACATGCTCTATCGTGTAAGGCGAAAATTGCGCGCGATTTGAAAACAAGGCTAAAATAAACAAATTGCTTGTTTACAGCGCATACAGAAGCATATGACACCAAAATTGAACTGTATGTGTAGAAAATTATTTGCGGAAGGATTATGTAAAAAGATTCGAAAACTTATGTAAAGTAATACCTTTTCCAAAATTAGATCGTTTCCAGACGGCCACCAGACGATCTGAGATCGTCTGGAGCATATATTTTCGTCACTTCACATAAGTTTCTGATCTTTTTAGCATGGACAGATTCCTCGGCCCAAAATCTATCCCTGAGCATGAAGACATTTTCATATCATGCCTTTTCTTTTTTTTTTGCCTTCATTTTTTCTCTCTTTGTTAAATATCGCGCTCTAATGCCAAAGTCTTGTGCATGCGTAGCATTCAGCTCCAATCTGGATTTTCACTCTTATCTTACGTCTTTTCTTTCAAACTAGTAAATCTTTCTTGTATTCATCTTATCCTAAGCAGGTCGGTCAAAGGGGACTTCGTAAAACTTCCGAAAGTCAGGGGAGACTTCTTTTCAGAAACCCTAGAAACCGACTCGTGCCGGGCCCTGGAAGCGCTTCTGAGAGGGGATCCTGGGAACTTTTTTGGTGAAACTTCAATAGTTTGGCTAAGGTAAAAACAGGTGTTGAGATCCTTTCGGCGCTTGAAAGGAGTAATGACTGACAGGAGCCTATTAGGCTGAAGGTAGTATTGCACAAAACGCCCTGGTAGTGATCATAGCCCCATTCGAGCTCATAGACTGCACTTTGAATGATTTATTGTAGCCCCATGTTCGAACTTTTGCTCCAAGAAATTCCCGTAACTTCCCTTCCAGAAGCGCTTCGCAGATATGGAAAGCAGATTCGGAATCAGCGTCCTTAGATTTATAAGACAGTGTGCATTCTATAATGAAACGCCACTTCACCAAGTATCCTTCCCTTGTAAGTCAAAAGAAGTCCATCGAAGGTTTAAACTCCAAAAAAAGTTGAATTCCAATATAAACCTACTCTGCCTCATTGCTGGAAATAATGAACGTGATGGCAATCTAAATGATGCGAAAAGCGAATATGAGTGAAAAGGTGAGGGACATTGAAAAGTTGATTGATTTCGAAATCCATTTGAATTTCAAGAAAGTTCCTCAGCAACGCGGGAATTTGTTTATATGCCCCTGATCCAGAAAGATCATGGAATGTAGTGCAGAAAAAATGAAAGGAAAATTATTTCCTGGTCAAAACTTTCTGCAGATGAATGAAACTTATCGCCATAATGAGTAATCAGGTTTTGGAAAAAAAATCGCTCGGCTATGACTCATCCCACTATCGCCTGAGGAATTGATTATGACTAACACTTGTGCTTAAATAATTTCAATTTCTCATTTTGAATTGATTTTTGGCGCTGTAAGCTGTGCAAAATCCCGTATTACACTGATAATTGTGCATATCGGCTTCTTCAATCGCCCTAAAAATGTGCATTAGTGACATTTTATGGCTCGAAATGTCTTTTGCTAAGCAAATCGTTCTTATCGCCCGATTGCGTTGAAGCCCTTTGAATGTGTTTATGACGTGACATGAATTTTTATCACCAAAGCAAAATAAAATTTCCGGCCAAACTGCACATTTATATTCTACACATAGCAATGAGAGATTCATCTGTGTTAGCATTTCCACCACATTGCTTGAAATGGGGCCGCGAAAATATCTTGTCAGATCGCAAAGTGGTAAGGAATGGGTGCATTATCCTTGAGTAATTTTTTACTTTTTTCTGCTTGCAAAATAATCAATATATTGATTTTTAGCCGCAGTCGCATCTGGTGGAATTGGTGGAGGCAACGGACCGACTTCGCCAACACGGAAAACCTCTTGGTCAACCCTACTTGAAGGAAATCGACGATATTCCATAGCTCAGCTTGTCTTCGGGAATTCCACACTTGTCAAGAGAAATTCCGGAGAACTTCGCGATTGGGCTGACGACGAATTTGCGAGTATCGTATCAGCCGGTGAGCTAGATTTATAAGTTAATTTAGGAAATAAATTGTTTGGTAAATCTAAAGGACCTGCATTTTTTGTTCTTCTGAGAGGCATTCGAGGATGACAGGATCTAAGAAATGCGCATTGAAGGTTTTAATAACTTAATTACATTTTTGAAATGCAATTTAGTAATTATGAACGGTAATCAACACTTGAAAACTGGTTTACATGATTATAGTATTTCTATGATAATTGTATGATAGTTTCCTAAATGTTAAGGTGATGGTGAAATGCACTCGGATCAGTGGAAATGATTGCCATTCAAATAAAGTCTTAAAGGGGAATTGAGGGCTTTGTGTACGTCTAACATTAATGAAACTTTTATGTTAATATCAAATCGTTAGACATTTTTTAAAATTTCATCCAGGCTTTTCCTTTCAACCATTAGACAATTTTTCTGCGTAAGTTTATTGGCGGGATTATGGCTCGAACTTCTCAAATTTTTTCAGATATTTATCGTCGTTTGTAACTCCATATATGTCGCCCAATTTTTGCTATATCGTCTTGTTTTTGTCTGATTTTTTTGCCTTACCCTTTGATCAAATGGCTTGGCGGCTGGAAGAGGGCCTTCGTGACCTAATTAGGGCTAGGCAATGATCAGAGCACACGCGTGGGAGAAGCGCAGACTGCGTTAGCGGCCTTGATTAGGTCGCAAACCCCGCCTTCCAGCCGCCAAGCCTGTTGAATCAAAGGTTACTTATTAAGCAGAACATATGCATGTCGCAATCATTCCGCGAGTCGCGAATAGTCAGTAAAACAGCATCACTATTTATCTTCTACATTCTAGCTGGTTTACGATAGCTCAACAATCTGTTATAATTCTTCAAGCATCACAATAATAAATAAGTGGTATTTTGAGAGAAATATCTTGATTGATTTTGCTTCATTGGCCTAATATTCCAATTTTTGATGGTCCCTGCACAAACTTTTCTGGTGTATCATAGCTAAACAGGGTAAAGCGATATCAATGCCATTGCGAAATCCTGTATAGCTAGTTATACAAATGGCACTTGGATTTGGAATCAAATTTCACCTGTGCGGTAGAGTCTTTCCGGATTTTTTCGAGTGCTTCTCGTACTCAACCTAAACTTTGGTTTGTTTACCAGCAAAGAACTGGTTTTTTGAATGAGTAATGTAAGAGCTCTAGTTTTTATACTAGCGATGTACATCGCGCAGAAAAGTGTGGAAAATCTGGTCAAGCCGGTAAAAAAATCGGGGCGAAGGATGATGATTATTTGTCTTGTTTTTTTCTTTGTGAAACTACAGACTGTAAACAATAGGGAGGAAATTTTCAAAAGCGGTTTGGATAACTTATGAAATGCAATAATATGTTTGCGTTTATGAATGTTGAAAAAATTTTCTCTTATTTCTATAAATTCTAACTAAATAGCCATAAAAAATTGTGGGCGTGGCTAGCCCCTAACAGGGTTTGTGAAATCTGCAGGACTTCCCAAGAATTCTTCGAGGGGTAAGTAGTTCAGAGCTTGGCACAGCTGGCACTAGGTCAAGCTGGATATCGTTTTTGGGACAAAAAGCAAAGGGGATATCGTTTGTGGCCCGAAACACAAAAATTGCGAAGGTTTTTTAGTCGACGGTTTCGTTTTTTGAGGGTTTTTTCTACGTTTAGGGTTTAGGGTTAAAGGGGATTTCGTACGAAATTCTCAAGATCAAAGGGATCACTTCGTTTTGAACGTTTCCTGGTGCCGTTCGTGCCGAGCCCTGAAATAGATCCACCGTAAAAAATGCTTCCCTTCCCGTTTTCCCCAAAACTTTAGAGAACTACTGGAACGATTTAAAAGAAGAGACGTAATGGACTTGAGAGCCAGGAGAATTTATGGCTATGGGGTACGAAAAAGATAAGCTGGTTTTTACTCTACACACAATTTTGCAAGGAGAAAGAGAAATTAGGGCTCCTTGTTCTCTGGAAATTTTCGAAGCTTAATCTAGTGCTAGCTTGAATGGATTGGCAAAGTACAAGCAGTACAGATCAGGTGCTAGTGTTAAATTCTTGCAGCTTCGGCTGTCGTTCGTCTTGCTCATTTTTCTTCTGCAAAGATTACAGCACATCTTTGTAGGAAAGCGCTCAGCCGACTAATGCACAAATGTTTCTGATATGGATTATTAGCGTCGTTTAGCCAGAGAAATTCTTCGTCGTTCATTTTTTATGGTTCAGTGGTTCGTTTTGACAGTTCTGTAGTCGTATCATTTGCTGGCAGCTGGCCAGTTCAAGCGGGAATTAAACGTTTGTTCTGGATTTTTCAAAAAAATGTTAGTATGCGGCAAGTCTTGACGTGAATCGCGTATTTCAAGTTCTGGAGAAGACATTCTCTGATTAACTCGAAAATTTAGCACATTGAAATCCGCAGCACATCTTGTAGAACTTCCCAACTTTTTGGACCGCAATTTGATATTTTCTAATTTTTCTCAACGAATTTCTGAATTTTTGAATTCTGCCAGTTTGCTTGCAAAAAATTGAAATTCCAGAATTTGAATACTCTTGCGTAATATTATTATACTAGCTGGCTTACCCGGCTCCGCCGTATCCGGACCAAACTTGGCACACATACACTTCGGGCCCCGGCGGGTGTCACAGTCCACTTTTCGTTATCGATCGATGTCGATTTTACCGATTTTTATCGATTTTTTTGCAGAGTTCACCTACAGGGCTAGGAGTTGGCACAGGGGGGGGGGGGGGAAGTGAGCATGGGGATTCCGAATACAACATTAGTTTTCAGGATCGTCCATTACTTTTATCGATTTTATCGATTTTTTTTTGTAAAGTTTGACCTGCGGGGCTGGGAGTTTGCACAGGGAAGTAATCGAGCATGCTGATTAAGAACACAATATTAGTTTTCAGGATCGTCCATTACTTTTATCGATTTTATCGATTTTTTTGTAAAGTTTGACCTGCGGGGCTGGGAGTTTGCACAGGGGGGTAATCGAGCATGCAGATTACGAACACAATATTAGTTTTCAGGATCGTCCATTACTTTTTCGATTTTATCGATTTTTTGAAAATTTGAGCTAGGGGGCTGGAATTTGGCACAGGAGTATAATCGAGCATGCTGATCACCCCCCTTGGGGGTGATCAGCATGCTCGATTACCCCCCTGTGCCAACTCCCAGCCCCCTACCTCAAACTTTGCAAAAAAATCGATAAAATCGATAATAGTAATCGATAATCCCGAAAACCAATATTGTATTCGGAATCCCCATGCTCGATTATCCCCCTGTGCGAACTCCCAGCCGCGTAGCTCAAACTTTGCAAAAAAATCGATAAAATCGATAAAAGTAATCGATAATCCTGAAAACCAATATTGTATTCGGAATCCCCATGCTCGATTACCCCCCTGTGCCAACTCCCAGCCCCGTAGCTCAAACTTTGCAAAAAAATCGATAAAATCGATAAAAGTAATCGATAATTCTGAAAACCAATATTGTATTCGGAATCCCCATGCTCGATTACCCCCCTGTGCCAACTCCCAGCCCCGTAGGTGAACTCAGCAAAAAAATCGATAAAAATCGATATCGATCGATGACGAAAAGTAGTGACACCTATGACACCCGCCGGGGCCCGTAGTGTATGTGTGCCAAGTTTGGTCCGGATCGGTTCAGAAATGGAATTTTCTATTCGGAACATACGTACATACAGACAGACATACAGACAGACAAACAGACATTCAGCTTTATATATAAGATTGTAATTTTTGGCATGAAACGTGAACTTCAGTCTAAGAAAATACATATTTGTTTTTCAGCTCCTTAGCTATTAAAGGATATTCATGACATTAATATGTGGAGTCTGTTTTGTGAATTTTTTACTATTTCGCGAATATTCTCAGAATTTCTGGGGAAATTTCTGCACATCTGTTTTTTGAATATTTGATTTCAAATTTTATCTTCCATGGTCACATTTTTTGCAAGAAATCAAAATTCACATCTGACTCAAATTTTCTCCAGAACTGGTTCGAATTTAGTATTTTCGAGAAGAAACCTTGAGAATCTGCAACTATTTCCAATTTTCTGCCTTACAGCAGAGTTTAAACTCAATTTCTTTGCCGAGTCGAAAAGTTTTACATCGATTTCGCTTTCAAAATGTTGCTCACTCTTCACCGGCTGTAAGAGTTTCTCCCCTCTGTCTTCGTTTCGAAAGTTTCTTTGCAATTCCTCTTCCCTTTCGATGGGAGTATTCGTTCCATTCAGTCGTTACAAAGCGTTGTTTGCTCAAAGAGTCGGAATATCGATGATGATTCGAGTGGAATAATAATTTTTGACGCAGGCATCAGGCTGCCAAAGCCATCGATCTAAACAGTTTTTTCAATGTCTTCATTGTTCGCGATTTGCATAGCAAATGGACGAAGTAAGTGTTCAGGCTTTCCGATCAATAATAATTATTGATATAATCCGGATTATAAACCTCCTCCTACTGAACTGTATGAGTCGTTTTTGCAGTCTTACTGTGTCCCAAGCGGATTAGAGTCGAAAATCCTGAAGGCAAGGGAGTAAAGAAGTAGACTAGCGCATAAAACTCGAAACATTTATGACATAAGTCGTTTCAAGCAAATTGAATTGATGTTAAATGACAAGTAAGCGCGATTTTCGGACGAGTTCTCACGCCGCACATCTCCCCCTCCCGGATCGAACCGGTTGCTGCTTGCTGTGCTTGCAAATTCAGAAATCTTTGATTGTGATTGCACACACAGCATAGCAATCGTATAACAGAAATGCCCTTGACTTACGCTTGTTTTTTCGGACGAGTTGCCTTGAGGGCAGGTTTTGTCCCCTCATGCCATTTGGCCTATGCTTACGTACGCATTTATGTGTACGAGTTGCTATGGTGCGTATGTGGTGAAATGCAATGTGCTGGAAAAATTGCGCGCTTTGTTGGCGTTTTAGAGGTGGCTTGTGAGTCACGCCCATTTTTCCTGAAAGATGTTTGATTGAGAAAAACAAAAATTTTTGCAATTATT